AGGAATCTTTCTTGTTTTTTTCATCTGGGTTTCTCATGCTGCAGAACTCAAGTGACTCACCACACACAGAGCTCCCCAGCCCTGGAGAATCATGTCCACTGCTCAGATCCAGCAGGTTCCAGCATCGCTCTCAAAAGAAAACAGCTTACACTTCATAAATAGTGAGTTCAAAGAACAAAAAACCAACCCCCACAGGGTGTGCAAAAGTCAAAAGTGAACATAGCAACACACAGCCCAGCTAATTTGAAAGTCGTTCAAAAAATGCAAATTGCAATTTATTATTCATGCCCACAGGACAGTGACACTGCAAAGGTAATTTTTCTAGCCTCGCAGCAACAGAACTGATGAAACCATTTCAAGTCTGTAGTGCACGTGGATTTCCTCATGAGCACACTTACTGGGAGAAGGGCATTAATTTCCACATCACTGTCAAAGCATTTGCCCAATTTGGGCTTTGTGCGAGCTCACAGAAGCCTTCACCCTTGGGAAAGATGCTGCCTGAAGCAGCTCACAGCACTTACCCTGCCCTTAGGAGGTACAGGTGTTCCAGCACTCAAAACAAACTTGTTTTAATGTGTAAGCTTAAGTTGAAGCAGCACAAGGAGATGGCAGTCAGTATTTACTCTCTGCCATCCTCGTGAATGAGTGTTTACATTCTCTTCATTATCAGTACAGGCACAGCATCTAAAGACAGTATTTAGTATTTCTGCTGAGCACGTCCCCAGGTTGGGAGGACAGGTACTGGGAGCAAAAAATACTGAAAACAGAAACCCAAGTGCAATTGCACTTATTGCCACTGATCAAGGTCATTTAAAAGAAAACACTGTCTCAAAAAAACAACCCCAAAGGGCAGTGCAGTTGTTATGAAGAAGGGGCTGAAGCAGTTCCATAGTGAGTGGTTTATTTTAGGTCTTTTCCAGGCCTGCCCAGATGACCTGGTCTCCCTGGAACAGGACTGCCAGACTTCCCTCCCATTTAAAAACTGCTTTTGCTTGCTTATTTTTGTTTTTCAAAGAGGATTTCCCTTCCTTAAATACTTCTTCTGAGGTGTATATAGCAGCAGTATGAAACAAAGATGGGCTTCTTTTTTTTTTTCTTCACAGTACAGATAAGTTAATATTGCCACTGAAAAATATGCCTTAAACAAATGCCTTTAAAAACCAGCATTCGGTCTGCATTACAGATCAACCTGGAGTGTTCATAAACCTTTGCAAATCCAATACCCAGAATTTAAATAATAAAACTGTAAAGTGTTAAATATCATTCCAGAATTGGAATCACAGTAGATCTCACATTCTCCCAAGGCTGGCGCTACACCAGGCAGGTGCATGCTGCTCTATGGACAGGAAAAAAAAAACCCAAAAGCAAACATGTTTTGTATTAAATATACATAAATAGCAGGACTGCAGACTGGAGAGCCATGCTTGTGTAATACTGAGTCTGTGCTGGCACAGTCCTTATTCTTCACCAGACGTGGGGATGGGCAAGTCCTTCCGAGCCCATCCCTGGCATAGCTGGGGTTTAGCAGGATCCATCCCAAAGCCAGAGCCTGCTGCAGCTGGAGGGGTGGGGAGGTGGGGATCACAGCTTCTTCAGTTTGTCTTTTTCTTCTGGAGTTTAGTGTGCACCACTTTGAGAGTAGTGAGGAAGTTCCCAAGGAAGAGCAGCAGAAATGTGAAGGCCAACACAAAAACCTGAGGAAGAGGAGGAAAAGGTCTTTGCTTGGGCCACACTGAGGCTCTGAGGGGGCTTGGTGGGCAAGTTCAGGGATAGCACATGAGAGATCATTGTAGCCAGATATACATCCACACATATGGAAAGTATATTTTTATCATCTTTTAAGTAGCATTTACTACTTTTTAATATTAGAACATGGATTGTACTCCACGTAAGTGGACTCTATCAAGCAGTAAAATAATTAAATCCAATCTAATGGATTGACATTATTCTCCAAGCACTCTCACTGAACACCAGTGGCACAGGCATGGGGGAAGGACAGGTTTCTGCAGGAAGCTGTGTTCCTCCTGAACAACATGAGCACACCAGCCACAGCAAGATCTGACCAAAACAATGACCATCAGAGCAGAACCAACACCCACCTGCCATTCTTTGCACTCCTTATGCCTCGACAATCCAAAAAGCGTGATTGCATTATACAGCTGCCAGAACTAAAAAGAAGAAGGGAAAAGAAGCAATTTAATCACTAGCAAAAACCCCAAATCTTAGAAACATCTGCCATGAGTGCGTGTGATCTAAAGCACCTTTAAAGCAGCAGCAGATCCCCCCAGGCCGTGTCCCAAAGGGAGGAACAGGATTGCCCTACTTACATGCCCAAAGAACAAGAAGGGAAGGAGAAAGGTCAGCCCCCGCCACATCCAGGACTGAAATCCTTCTGGAAAAGGTTAACAGAAGAGGCAGAGAGTGAGCACAGAGAAGCCAGGACTGGACCTGCAGCCCTCCCCACCCAGACCACCCCATAAGGGCTATTCCCATCCTGCTCTGAAACAACCAATTAAAAAAACTTAGACTTGAAGGTGTGGAAATGGGAAGAGGATGAAGATGGCCAAAACCTCCATCTTAACCCTCTCCAGATCTGAGGAAGATCAGAGCCCTCTACTTCTGACCCACAGGACCTGCAGAGGGGGATTAAATCCTGGCTCCCCTTCCTACCACAGGACACAGAGAGGGGGGTGGCAGCCCCACAGAGGTTGCTCTCAGAAGGCCACAAGCCCTCTCCCTATTACTGCATCTAAAACCTGTGCAGAAGACTTTGCAAACCAAATACTGCAGAAAGCCTCACCTACTGTAAGGTCCAAGTGGTTTCTCTCCCCCAAAGCACGGAGTCTATAAAGGCAGCCCCTTTGGTAATAATACTGTAGGAACTGAACACAACCTGGAGAGGAGAGAGGAAACATCGTTGCACTGGGTGTTCAGAAGGGTGACAAACTAACAAACTATTTTAGTAATGTTTAATCCAGCAGCATTTAATTATTGCCTATATTTGTACACTTTACTTTTGCCTGGTATTGTTTATATTTGTACAGTTTAATACCCCAGTGTTTACCTAGCAGAATTGTTTTTCTTTCCAGCCCATGATACAAAACTACTTTATCCCCTGAATTATCAAGGTAAGATATACTCACTCTGAAATATTGAAAATGCTAAAAATTGGCTGCGAAACATTTGATACATGAGACCATCTGGCCTGAAAGCAAAACACAAAGGAGGTCCATTTGTTTGGTAAAAAGCAGACAGTGCAGTGCCCTTCACCCTCAGCACCCAGCCAGATCCCATCAGCACACAAAGCAAGTAGCTGGTACCCAGCCCATTCCACCCTGCTGGGAGCCCAGAGATGGTCCTCCAGGCCCACATCATAACTTTGGCTTGAAGGAAACATTCTCACTCATTAGGTTTCCACATTTCCCCTCTCCAACATGTATAAATGCTGTCCCCTCTAATTCATGTGCTCACTGTGGTTTTCTCTAGGCAGCCACCAAAGCTGGTCAGCAGCTTTTGGCTCAAGAATCCAAGGGGTGGAGCAGGGGGTGCTTGTGCTCCTTATCCTGAGGGCAGTTCAGGATAGACAGAGGACAGGGGACCTTCTGCTCCAGTCCCTGCATCATCCCCTTACAGATTCAGAAGCAGAAACATTTCATTTTTAAAAACAATTGTTAACTAACCAGTCCATTCCAGAGCTGAGCCAGGGGCCATACACGGGCTGCATCGCCACGTTGTCCTGACCAGCCCCTGGGAAGGTAACTGGCAGTTTTGGCTTTATACTTGGTTTGTAATCTGGGTTCAGCACCAAATAGATTAATTTCGTGGCATCCTCCCTCTAAAGCAAAGTGCTACTTGTTTGCTTAGTTGCACAGAGACAGGGAGACTTGCAGAGACTTTGCTACCATCAGCACAACCATGGCTTAGGCTTTGAGGTTTGGTTTTTCTTTTTTATAAACCAGTGCTGTAAACACAGACATGCAGCATCGTATTTATAACTGAAAACATCCCTAAGATCAGACAAAAACTAAGTCTGACACTTTGCCACGTGCCCATGCAGCTTAAAGCTTCATGAACCTGCTGGATTTTAATGCTCAGATGATGTAAAGACCATGATTCAGGTACCTCGAGCCACCAAGAGCAGACTCACCATGTTAACATGACTCCAGACAGGAATGTGGAGACATAGTGATGAGACACCCACCAGCCTTTGATCCTGAACAGAAAAAAACGTGGCAGTTAGACCAGAAACATGGATTTTAGCATTATAAGTCTGGCTTTACAGACAAAAAATGGTCCTGGCTTGAGGGAGGAGAAGGATAGGGAACAAAATTGATGGCCCAACTCAAGCCAAAGGGGTGCTGTGCAGTATAACCTGGCAATATGACTAGGCAATGACTTTGTTGGAGCACAGACCCATGACTATGGGAGGGAGGCTGAGGACCAGGGCACATCCCACGTGCTCCCACAAGCTCTCCAGCACAGCAAGAAGCAGCAGTCCCCGCAGCATGAGGCTCCACGGTGACTAATGATGCACAAGTTTCAGCCCACACACCCTTTTTTTTTTTCCTGTGCCATGCAAATATGTGATATATCCAAGTCCTTCCTATGAGGCTGTTTCTTTCAGACATGAACACTGCAGAAAGCTCAGGAAATTTCAGTAAAGTGAGGAAGGGTTGTAGGGAGGACCTCAACACCTGCCTTAGGATACCCCTACCAAGGGTGCCATGAAGAAACAAGGGCTTGGAGTAAGGATGATAGAGTGGTTTGGGTTGGAAGGGACCCTGAAGATCATCTAGTTCCAACTCTCACCATCTTTCAGTTAACTTCTCCATGGTTTTATTTGTGGTCCCAGACTCCTAACTGCCAATTTTCCCTCAACACGACTGCAATTGTCACACGCCTCATGAGGGTGGCCATGCTAACCACAGGGTGTGGAGCCAGCACCTCAGTCAGTCCTTTCACCAAAAACACACACACTCTTACATCCCAGACCACATCTACAGCTGCCAAAACATCCAACACTTCAGACAAAAAGCTACAGACTTGTAGGAACTGCACTTTCTCCCTCCCCAAACCTCAGGAAGCTGCATCTTGGAAGCAACCAAGGAGGAGAACAGAGAAAAGAGACCCTGCAGAGAGGCATCAGCACCTCAGATTTGCTGGGCTTCAGCACCAAGCTGAATCTGCTTTTGTAGGTTGTTTTTCTTTTAAGGACATTTCATGCTTTAAATAGTCCTTGCAGGTGGCTCAGTACCTTGACCCGTTGCTGATGAGGATGCTTTCCCGTATCGTCAGCGTGCAGTAATACCACACTAACAGAAAATTAAACACTTCATCTGTCACCCTGTTACACACAAAAAAACACACAGTAAAAAAAAATAAATCCTGTTAATGATGAAGACACATTAAAATAAATAGCCTATTTTTCCTCCTTCCCCTTGGGTGAATAAAAACGTGGCCAAGCAAGGCCATTGACACCAAGCCCCAGTCCTGAACATCTCTAATCCACATACAGAGCCACACACATGGGCAGCAGCACCACGCTCTGAGTCCTTTCTTCCAGGAAGTGCCCCATGATACAACACTGCAGATCTTCAGCTGATAAGCAGGAACGCAGAGGTGACACTAAGTCCTTCTGAAGGAGAGAATGCACCATGAAAGCAGCAGATGATCCAATTTAGAGAGGCATTTCCAGGTTAATTCAATGAGGAGATTTCGTGAGATCTATATAAATCCAATCCACTGAAAGAGCAGGAGAGCATTACACTCAGGAGGGGAAAAAAGCAAAACAGCTTTATTTTGCCATTTGCAAACCCCTGAAGCCACAGGGATTCAGGGCAGCCTCTGTCCATGGCATCATCATTCCCTGGTATGATCCTGCATTCACCCAGATCCAGAGACATAACTGTGGAAGTGCCTGGCTCCAACACCTTCCTGATTTTTTAAGCAAACCTGCTTAGTTCAAGCTTGTTGGTGCTCAGACACTTTATCATGATCTAGAGATAACATTTCAGGTCTGACCATTTAATGCAAATCCTCTTTTGTTGCCTTTGCAACCCCAGAGCTGCAGCACAGTGCTGGTCCCTGCCTGGGACACCCCCCAAGCAAAACCAACTGCTTGTTCCCGAGCACACTATGATGCTAGGAAAATGATGGACCAGGAAACACAATGTTGGACTTCTCTTAGTCACAAGACACACCATAAAAAGTTAAACAAAGAAAAGCAAGTAGCTAAAACACAGATCATGCTGGTGTTGAAGAGGTGCAAAAGCTGTCCTGCTGTCCAATTGCTCAAGATGAAATGTTGCCAGAGCCTGCCTCACTGTCCTTAACAGCAGGGAACATTTAGTTCAAACCCAGCACATTTTTATCCAAAATACTTGATTAAAATAAAAAATGCAGCTTACCTGTAGTGGAGAATAAACCTGCAGGCAACAGCCCCAAGTAACAAGATTATCGTCAGATAAAGTTTGAACTTCTCATACTCATCCTTGTATGCAAACCTGGAAGGGAACAGCCTTTACCAGAACATGGCTTTGCTTTTTCTAATCAGATACAAACCAACATGCTGACCTCAGAGATACAAGGTTTTGCTTAAAACATTAAGGAAAGCAGTAGCTGGCAGTGAAAGGCAGAGCTCTGCCTACAGAGACCTTCCAGGCTGCAAGGCAGCTCAATGGCCTAAGTCTGTAAGAGGTGATTTCTGGGTTGCCATGATAAGAATTTTTAAAAAGAAAAAAAACCCTCCATTTTCTGAAATACATAAGCCTGGAAGTCACAATACTATTTTTCACTGCAACCCCCCCCTTATAATTAAGGCAACAGGCTGGGCTTAAAAGCAAGTGAAGGACAGAATCCATTAGAGCTCACAATGTATTAGCTTGGTCCCATGTCATGGTCCAACCTGCCCACCTCTCAATGTTTCATCTTTTATCTAAGAGAAACCCATTCCCATCTCTGGACTTCAGTCCATATCCACAGCTGGCCCCAGAGGAACCCAAATCCACACATGCAGAAACACTCACTCACTTTGCTTGGTTACTCAGCAGAGTTACATTCACGTTTCCCAGCACCAGATTTAAGTACAGGCTGAAAAAGAAAGAACAAAGTGGACTCGTGTAAGTCTGTTTTATCTTAACACCACAGGATCTGAGCTGGAGACCAGTGTGTCTGTTGAAGCCACGTTTGCTATATTAATGTATTAATAATGAAGGCAAACTGGAGATAAGACTACAGAAAAGGATTTAAATGTGGAAATCCAGTCAGCACTTCCAAGTTAGCAAGACTACTTTTATTTTAACAAGAAAACCTGCGCTGCCCACAGACAGAACATTTACATACACTTCAAGCTAATGAACTGTGTACAACTGACACACCAGCTCAGCAAGAGTTTTATGACTAGTCCAGTTTTACATGTATTTCTTCAACAGGCACATTATCCTTTGGGAATAACATCACTGTGAGCATTTAAAAACTCAGCCCCCCGGAGCACACCCCCCCCAGCAGAGCACGTACCCATTCTTCTTTGGCAAGTAGGCTTCCATGTCAAAGAAGGCATTTTGCCTCTCCTTGATCTGGGTGCTGATCTCCTGAATGAGAGCAAACTCCTCAGGACTGGCTTTGGCCTTGCACCTGCAAGAACACAGAAACAAGATATTCCTGTTTGTGTTTTTAAAGTCTTTTCCTTTAAAGAAAAAGAATGTTGTCACCAAATCCATCATCCATGCTGTTAACAAGCTCACTACAGGAGCTGATGCCATTGTGTACTTTGCTCCTGTATTTCTACAGCACCATTTGGCTTACCATGATTTTATTTCACTGCCTGGTTTATGCTGTTGTAGGTTATTTCAACCAAATGGCTTATAAATCAGCTTCTGTTTTCATCTCAGCTCAGTGACAAGATCCCATACCTCTTCCCTAGCAGAGCACATAGGGAATATTGTGCTATATTGTGCTATTTTGCAGGAACTCCTTCCACTTTGGGAACTTGGTGTGTGGTTTCAGGCACTGCCTTTGCAGAGGCTGCAGCTCTTCAGGCATGGTGCCTTTCAGGATGTAACAAAACACACTGCTGATGATTTTCTGACGAACTGTGGTTTTACCAATTAACATAAAACAGAGCAGCTCACGGCAGCATCAGCAACCTGTGGGGCTGGAAGTTGTGTTTTCAAACCTGCACACAAGGAATTTGGCTCCTGGGGATCATCCCGAGACAGTTCCTCCCTGTGAATCCACCCAGGAGTGAGTTACACCTTCAGGTTTGAGGACTGATACTGCTGTTCCCGTGCAGCTTACAGAGCAAGGCTTTGCTCACCCAGCAGAGCACAGGGACCCAGAGGTGCAGCACACAGCCCACACTGCGAGGCTCCCTCAGAGCTCTTCTCTATTTACCAGATTCCATTTCTTGTGGGATTACAAACATTTTCTCTGGCTGTGATAAATGGAGGTGACCCAAGATTAATACAGAGCAAAATTACCACTGTGACAAAGATTGTATATTAAAATGCTAAAAATCCAAACATTTCAGCCCTTTGGGAAGGAGAAATATCCCATCCCCACCTCCTCCACCCTCCAGGTCTCCTGCTACCTCTGCAGGCTGTGCTTCAGATCCCTCAGTGTCTTCTTCTGCCGCTGTATGGAGGTGCTGCAAGCTGTCTGCAAGGTGGTGACTTCCTCCAGTTTCTGCCTGTAAACTTTGTGTGTCTCCTGCAGGAGAAGAGGAGATGACTGGGATGAAGAGTCCTTCTAGGTTACACATTGCTTTTGGTCCTCACTTCTGAATAAAAGAGCAAACCCCTTGTTTTTTGGGTGTCATCAGGCACCCCTGCAAACAAGCAATGCCAAACCACCATGGATCCAGCATGGTTTAAATGGATACTAATGAAGTTCCTGCACATGAAGAGCATCTTCTGTGCCTGCCTCATTTCTTCTTTCTGACAAGCTTTCCCACTCAGGAGCTTTTCATTCCCATCCCACCCTGTAATGGAACTCTAATCCTCTGTTGATCCCAATCCGTCCCCATCAAATGGGTGGCTAAATCACAGAGCAGGAATTCTGATTTCACTGCCAGATTAAACTGGGGGGAAAAGGAAGAAATACAAGGACACAGGTTACATGGCTATTTGCCTGGCTGCTTTATTTACCAGCACATCAATGACCACAGAAATAGTGGTCATTGTGCTAAAACTATACAAAACAAGTATTTGCTCTCCTCCTCATTAAGATCTGCCTGGGAGTTGTTCACTATTTACAAGAGCAAAGCAAAACAAGCTCTAGTATCTGATTTAAAAACCTTAATAACCAAAGTAACCTCCTCGAGCAAAGCAAAACAAGCTCTAGTATCTGATTCAAAAACCTTAATAATCAAAGTAACCTCCTTCAGGCACTGCAGCTCTCATGGCTTCAGGATTGGTTTGGATTTCCTAAGTACAGGCAGGACTGGATTTCACAGTAACTCATTCTGTTTCTCTAAATGTCACACAACAACATCTTTTAAAAGGATGTTTCCAGAGGTCTAAGAAGCTCTTTGCTAAAAAGTGTTCAAGTATTTACTGGAAACACAAACAGGCAAATTGAGAGGTGGTAAATTCTACTGCTAGATGAAGAAACATCAGGATAATGATTTCAAACTGACACGAATATTTAGAAGAATATATTCACTAGTAGAGAAGTTATTTATTCACCAAAAACTTATCCACAGGAGAAGCAAGACACAGCCCCTGGCCCAGAACATAGAACACAATGATAAAACAAGGGACAGGGCAGGAGGGCACTCAGAGATCACTATGCCCCACAGGGTTGACACTGCTCTGGACACACAAAAAACCTGCCCACCATCCATTTTTTCCTCACTGGCATTGCCCAAGAGACCCATTAGGAGAAGGAGACCCAACTGCCTTGGAAAATCCAAAGGGGAGCTCCTTCCAAATGGGAGCAGCAGCTCCCACATAGCCCTAGAACAACAATTCCAGCTGGAGATGAGAGTCAGGCCAGGCAAAAAGGGCACTGAAGGGGGTGATGCAGGGGCTGCTGCTGGGATAACCACACTCAGGAGATGCTGTGTGTCCAAAAGAACACATGCAGGCACAGGCATGAGCAGACAAAACCAAAATACTTCCTTACCAAACAGTTGGGGGTTTATGCCACAGATCAAGGTGTGACTTCAGTGCAGCTGGGGAGCACACAGGCTTCCTCCAAAGCAAACCAAAGCACCACCAGCACCTCTTGGAGGTGGAGCAGAGTCCCATCCTCAGGCCAGCACCACATTCCCCTCTTCTGCAACACCATTTTCAAATATAAACCCTGCTTGTGAGCCCTCAGGCTCTCAGAGAATGGATGTTATCCCAACTTTTCACCTCTACAGTACCGACCACTGGACAACAACACTCCATGCCAGCAGCAGCTGTGACCCACCAGGTGCCATTTCCACTTCCCTTCCATAGCTGGAGGAGCAGGGATAACTTATTGACATTTTGCTGGGGTTTAGGGGCCACACGTTCTGTTCAACAGCCTAGAAGGGACAGCCCTGCAGAGCCAGAGCAGCCAGTGTTGCAGAAGTGGCTCAAAGCTTTAAAGCACGTGTAGAGGAGCAGCAGTGATGCTGCACCGGGCGGGACGGGAAAACCACTTTGCAGAAACAGCTCCCAGCCTCTGCTCCAAAATCTTTCTGCCCATCTGTGGGTTTTTTTGCAAGGCAGGCAAACAGCACTGCCGTCCCTCACAGCCCTCCCGGGGAGGTCAGCTCGGCGCCCTCGCTGCTGGGCGGGAACCAGACCCCGGGGTGCCCCCTCGGGCGCTGCGGGGCTGATGTCGGCGAGAAGGGGGGAGAACCCGCAATCCCGCACCCCT